GAAAAATTCTTCATAGATTCTTTTACTCTACTTCGCTATTCACTTCAATCATTAGTCGAATTCTCTTTGATTCATTATCAATATTTATAAGGTATTCATGAGAAAATAAAATTCAATGAATTCCATTTCTTCATTTCAACAAATGAATAGATCAGCGCGCGCAAGGACGCGCGCATAGATCTTGTCCAATTTTTTTACTAAAGATGAAAGAAACGTGAAGTGGTTTTATATCGAAATATCTCGAAACTGTTTATAGGGCCTTCAATTGAAAGCCCGACTTGAAGACCCGAGTTTGTAGCAAAGATNAAAATGACACCGGCATTAAAGGGGGACGCAACATCCACATATTCCGGATGTGTCCGCGCGTGGAAATCCCATTTCCAATTTTTCCGTGGAGGGAGTAGGAAAATTCTCCAGTCTGTCCTCTTCCCCAATTCCCCAAGTGTTCCCGAACCGACGAATACGACAATTTCCCGGAAAGTGCATTCACACCTCATACTCAAGACGTCTCGGACATTGAAATGCCACCGGCCGAGAAATCGGCCGGCCAACAAAGGGTCAGAGGGGAAGGGAATGAAACGAGTCAAAACGAAGGAATACGACAAGTCAAACAGGCCGGCCAAGCGAGTAGTGGGGGTAAACGTCGCGGAGGAAGCGAATTGTTTCACTCGATTCTGTATATCCCACAGTCGATGAAGTGGCCTGGCTTGTGTACCACTCACACGAAAATTAATTCATCCAAACATTACATTGGCTCATTGGCTTATCGCATCTCCACTCCTCCAGTCAGTGCTACGTGTTTTCTGCCGTGAGTCGTTCTGAGAGGTACCGTTTACATAAAATCACATACACTTTGTATCCCGATGCCCAGCGAGATATTTCACCAGAGATTTCTCAAAATTACTCGCTTACTCCATCGAAATTTCAACACCACCCTGAACACAAAATCGATCTCTTGCGTTTTGCATTTATCAATGAAATTTCGATTTCCTCATGACAAATTTCGAGTGAAATTCTCTCGGAAGACTTGCAGCGTTGCTTCGGTGGCCTTCTCCATCTATCGGGTGATCAGAAAATACTCGCCACGTACATAGCATCGTATTCTATTTGAAATACATTGAACAATGAGTCGTTAAGTTTGAATAACGAAACTGCAAATGACGGATGCAGTTGGAGAGATGTATGACGAGGTTTTAGGTGAAATTTTTTGTCACTTTTTCATTATTCTTCTGGATTGAGGAAATTAGCGTTTGGGCTCAGATGGCATTTGAATGAGTCATTAAGTCGGGGAGAATTAAAATTAGATTCCGTCACGAATTATGTCACCTATTATTGTAATAGTCTAAAGCCAGGAGTAATTAGTTAGAAATTTTTAAAACGGATGAGGATGAAATGAGAATGTCAGGACGGAGGTGTGTGATATGTACGCGCAACACTGAAATTGATAATCGAGAGACCTCGGAATTTTCTGGAATCCGGGTGAAGAGAGTTGAAGGTGATCTGGAGAGGATAAACAATTGAAAAGGAAATTTAAAAGTACGAGGTGGCTGATGGGGTGGACACCGCCATCTTGCTGGGATACCCCCCCCCCCCTTCCGGTGGGGCCTTTAAACATGGCGGCGACTCCACCTCGCATTTTTAAACACTTCTTAAAATTATTTATCCTCTTCAAATGACCTTCAACTTCCTTCATCCGGTTGGCAGAAAATGAACAAATTTTTTAAGCCATCCTTCTGATTTTTCCGTCCACTTTTCCAGCATTTTAGCACAGTCCAATCTTGGTAGGGGAATAAAATTCCGAGAATTACTTTACTTGCGCTCAGAGGGGAAAATATTTTGATTTGATATTCTTCGTACAAGATACTAGACGATTTCCATTCTTCATGATCATTGGAGTACGATTCCTGATGTGAAACACGAATGTTTGATTAGAAGGATTGTTCCTTTTTAAAGTAACAATTTAGAAACTCGGAATAGGTTAGATTCCGTCACGAATTATGTCACCTATTATTGTAATAGTCTAAAGGCAGGAGTAATTAGTTAGAAATTTTTTAAACGGATGAGGATGAAATGAGAATGTCAGGACGGAGGTGTGTGATATGTACGCGCAACACTGAAATTGATAATCGAGAGACCTCGGAATTTTCTGGAATCCGGGTGAAGAGAGTTGAAGGTGATCTGGAGAGGATAAACAATTGAAAAGGAAATTTAAAAGTACGAGGTGGCTGATGGGGTGGACACCGCCATCTTGCTGGGATACCCCCCCCTCTTCCGGTGGGGCCTTTAAACATGGCGGCGACTCCACCTCGCATTTTTAAACACTTCTTAAAATTATTTATCCTCTTCAAATGACCTTCAACTTTCTTCATCCGGTTGGCAGAGAATGAACAAATTTTTTAAGCCATCCTTCTGATTTTTCCGTCCACTTTTCCAACATTTTAGCACAGTCCAATCTTGGTAGGGGAATAAAATTCCGAGAATGACTTTACTTGCGCTCAGAGGGGAAAATATTTTGATTTGATATTCTTCGTACAAGATACTAGACGATTTCCATTCTTCATGATCATTGGAGTACGATTCCTGATGTGAAACACGAATGTTTGATCAGAAGGATTGTTCCTTTTTAAAGTAACAATTTAGAAACTCGGAATAGGTTAGATTCCGTCACGAATTATGTCACCTATTGTTGTAATAGTCTAAAGCCAGGAGTAATTAGTTAGAAATTTTTAAAACGGATGAGGATGAAATGAGAATGTCAGGACGGAGGTGTGTGATATGTACGCGCAACACTGAAATTGATAATCGAGAGACCTCGGAATTTTCTGGAATCCGGGTGAAGAGAGTTGAAGGTGATCTGGAGAGGATAAACAATTGAAAAGGAAATTTAAAAGTACGAGGTGGCTGATGGGGTGGACACCGCCATCTTGCTGGGATACCCCCCCCCCTCTACCGGTGGGGCCTTTAAACATGGCGGCGACTCCACCTCGCATTTTTAAACACTTCTTAAAATTATTTATCCTCTTCAAATGACCTTCAACTTCCTTCATCCGGTTGGCAGAAAATGAACAAATTTTTTAAGCCATCCTTCTGATTTTTCCGTCCACTTTTCCAGCATTTTAGCACAGTCCAATCTTGGTAGGGGAATAAAATTCCGAGAATTACTTTACTTGCGCTCAGAGGGGAAAATATTTTGATTTGATATTCTTCGTACAAGATACTAGACGATTTCCATTCTTCATGATCATTGGAGTACGATTCCTGATGTGAAACACGAATGTTTGATCAGAAGGATTGTTCCGTTTTAACGTAACAATTTAGAAACTCGGAATAGGTTAGTTTTCCAACAGAACCTTGTGAGGCAAAATTGAGGCTTCCATCAATATTTTGGTTTTCGAAGAATATCTCCGAATCTGAAGGAGATAATGAAATTTTCAATAACTTTTTTTCTAGAGGAAATTGAGTGCCCCAAAAAAGGTCTCAACAAAAATTTAGCTATTTGAAGCGACTTGAATCGTTTCACCACTTCGCTACTGAAATTAGTGAATGAAAGCAGAATTCAGTAGCAAAGCGGTAAAACGGTTCAAGTCGATTTTGACTATTGGTCAGTTTTCAGTGAATATCTCGGAATCTAAGGCAGATAGCAAAATTTTTGTTACAACCTTTTTTGTAGAGCGAACTGAGAGCTACGAAAAAGGTAATTACGAAAATTTTGCTATCTCCCTTAGATTCCGAGATATTCCTCAAAAACTCAGCTGAGAGCCAAGTCGACTTGAACCGTTTTACCGCTTTGCCACTGAATTGAATAGTCGACATAAAATTGAGAACCGAATTATTTGCACAGTGGACAGATCGGGAAGTGGAACCGGAAGTTCGCCTCGAGTGACCCTGCGGCTGAATCAGGTGCGGGGAGTGAGGGATGATAAGAAATCGGCTGGCAGTGGCTCAAGACAGAGCATGAGTGGTGCTAATCAGGGACAGATGGAGGCGGCCAAGTCCACTCCGTCGACGGTGCAGGGCTCGTCGTCCACCACGACGACGACGACGACGACTGCTGGTGCCCAGCCCTCGACGCCTTCCAGCGCGAGCTCGAGTGCTGGAGCGCCGGCAGTGGATAACAGCGACGTCTACGAGTTCAAGAGCTCGAAGGAGGCGACACCGGTGAGGGGGTCGAGCTCATCGCCGAATCCCCCGGAGAAGGAGAAGGACACGCCGAAGGCGAGTGGTGGGGCGAGCCAGGTGGAGGCTCCGGCGAGCTCCTCTGAGAGCACTCCTGCGGCTGCTGGGGGCGCTGGGGCGGCCGAGGGAACGGCCGCCGGCTCGCCCAGTGCCAAACGGGCGTATGAGGGGAATGAGGACGAGCAGGACGAGGAGAACAGGAGGAAGAAGAGGAAGGAGTCCGAGGGGAGCAAGGACGCCAAGGGCCCCGCCAGCGGGAGAGCCAGCGCTGGGAGAGCTGCTGTTGGAGCTAGTGAAAAGGTATTGGCTCTTTCGTCTCTTTTGTTTTCGGTGGGAACGCCAGGTCTAGGCTTCCACGGCTGAGAGAAGAGTTTTCATGGGTTTTGCATGGTTTTGGAGTTATTGTTGATGGCCTAATTATGCCCTTTTTCCTGCTAGATTCGAGATTCCTTTTTTCAATTAATTTTTTGGAGTCTTTCTCTTGTCAAAATTTATCAGCTGTTGAATTTTCATATTAGAATAGATGATTTATTCGGATTCCTGATACATTTCACTTCCTTCTGGGAATTGATAGCAGTGCGAGCACTGCTATCAATTTTTAGTTAGTTCACACGGTAATTCAGTTAGCCGTTGATCAGATGCTGATGTTAATCTGTCATTCAGGTGGTAATTCAGTCAATATAATTCTGTGCTTGCAATATTGTCATCTCGGGTTTTCAGCGACAAAGTGAAAATTAAAATTTTATTTGGAGTATTGAGTCGCAGATTATTTTTATTCATGTCAGAAATATTGTATTTGGATAGTAATATTATTTGTTCAATGTGAAATAATCGATGGTCATTTTCACGTATTGCATTCAGATTCATAATTCATAGTCTTATAATTCTAGCTATTAATTCTAATAAACTTTGCTCGGAAAAACCCTTAGTAAACGCAATATTCAGAAGGTAGAATTATTCTATATTTGTCTGACCTACATGATTGGACAATTATGATTCGTTAGTTCATATTTCATAGAATTATATACAATTTTCGTTTTTTTGTTAAGCAAGGTTTATGAAAATTCAACGCAAGACAATTGCACAAGAAACTTAATTTTTTGACACAAGAAAAACAAGTTTTTTTTGAAACGAGAAAAACAAGTTTTTTTTTAAACAAGAAAAAATACCTTACACTGAGAGAAAAACGACAAAGTTCTTAAACAAGTCTTACTTGTGCCACGAAAATATTTTTTTGAAAATTATCAAAAAAGGATTTTTTTGAGCCAAACATGCAAATTGCGCCGTAATGACAAATTTTTGTCGCAAAAATAGATTTAGTAGTTCAAAAAATATTGCATTCTCTGTAGACGCAAGAAATGTCATTTCTAGCACTACTCCTTCGTTATTCGATACTCCCATACGTATTTTGCTCCCGAAAAATCTTTGTTTTATGCGAAACAAGGGATAGTAGTTTTTCGTTTCGGCTGTCTAATAATCACAGACAACAAATGAACCCTTAAATGAAACAATAATAATGATATGATAGCAATCTAATAACTGAGGGATAAAATATTTGTTGATAAATTTTCCTCTGTATGAGATATTTTCATCCTGAAGAGGCAGCGTCGGGTGTGAATTAACCGCCTCTTGAGCCAAATATTTCGTTGCTGTCGAA